ATCGGGAGAGGGAAAGAAGGGAAAGGAGAATGGCAACGAGCTCACCTCCATCGCTGATCTCACCAACTTCCAGTTGGAGGATCTCAATCTTGATGAAGATTTGCTAGATTTGGCTATCCGTATTGCTATGGTAGGCGGGTGTGTTATTTCTTACTGTCTTATCTTAGGTCATATTCTTCAAATCGCCAAATGTTTTGGGTGGATTCACAGAACACACACGGACAGTTCGTATCTACCCTCGACCTGTGGTTGCATTTCAATATGAGCGATTCATGAAGTCACGACCCGAGCCTTCGCCTTTCACTGTTGTCCTTGCCAAAACACAGGTACGTATTGTTGTAATGAAGAGGTAGACCAAATAGGGGTTGTGGAGGGTGAAGTAAGGCGTCTAATGCTTGCATCAACTTGAAATCAGTGACATGACAGTTCTGCTCACTTTGCAATTAAGACTGACAGTAATGTAAACGGTCCTTTTAATGTCTCCTCCCCTTCTTAAGTGAGCAGAGTATAGCAAAAGCGGACGAAGGGTTCCCTTTCACCAGTCACATTGTCGCAAAAGACTAATTCGCACTCCAACTCTCCACCACTTAGTAGGCGCAAGAGAATTCATTATATATTTGTCTTGTGAAGGCCTCAAAGAGAGGCTTCTTAGTGGCATTGACCTGTCTTGAAGGCATTGGATTAGCTTGCAAATTGAATGACGCCTGCAGTGGTGCTGATTGAGGTGTCGAATAACATGCGGTGGGCGTTGGATGAGATCACGAAGTTGCTTTCGTTTGACAAGGCCAATGGTCGTGGTGAATGCTGTCAAAGTTGCAAGTTGTATCCAAGTGAAGGAGTGTGTTTTGTGTTGAATAGACTTGAGTTAGTAGGTGGGTGAGGGAATGAGCAATCACTTCTTCTTGCCAAGTTCAGCTCTGTTGAGTATGGAAGCTATTGAAGGTAGGGGATTGGAATTACAACAAGCCTGGACGTAATTGTTAGATCTACTGATTTCCTACGAAGTAGCGGAGTGGCTGTCCAACCCACCAGCACTTCAATATTTGCTACTTTCAAGTGTCTTTTACTTTTTCCCCTTCCTGTGAGTAGCTGGACCTTGACAAGAGGAGAATGTTAGACTGCAAGAAAAGGTGCACGAGTAACGAAGTTGTCAATATCCTTCATTTCTGTGAGAAGTGTCTGGCTAGTCACATCCTCATATAATTGCAATAATAATGGTGGTAAGAGGGAGGAGCCTCTTTCTTCCCGGTGCAATGGTATAAAGGCCATCCCCATTCGTCCATTTTACGATAGACAGAAAAGTGGATGCTTTTGACGCATAAAATACGGCTCACTCTCTCTTTGTCTCCCTCCCTCGCCCTCCTTTTCCTCCCAACATGCTTTGACAGCTGTTCAGCCTGTCTTGGTAGAGTTGGTAAAGTTAAGCACAGACGTGAGAGGTGTTCCAGCCAATGTGGTGTTCTTGTAGTTGCAAAAAGGAGGAGTAAAGGACGGGTCGTAGAAGATGGAAAGACATTAGAAAGTGTACAGTGTATGCACCTTCTGCTTGGCTCCTCATCAACTCAGACAAAGTAACTTTTGCATGCTTACAAATCCCTTGGCGCCGTATAGGCATGGAAATATGAGCCTCTCCTTGTTAAAAGTCACTATAGTCTGGTGGGTTGTTGAGGTGT